CGTAGTGTGAGCCCAGTCTTAAGGATGTTCTGGATTGAACAAAAAATTTCAGCATAAAGTAAACTGTTAATATTTTAAAGATTAAGTTCCATGTCAGCAGCCGTTGTACAATAATATATTATACAATCACTGGCTAGAAGCATGCATTACCAGAGGCAGACTGACCATTTGGCACTGCCCGAGGGCCTGGGGTCAGTAGTGGGCCCCATGAGATGCCCCTGGTACCTTTTTCATAGGCTTTTTTGAGTTTGGGCAAGGACACAGGGGCCCCATGATCCCCTATTGCCTGGGGGCCCCATGAGTTGTCAGTCCGTCCCTGTGCATTACCCAATAAATTCATGTTGAGAGGCCCCAAGGGCACCTAAAGGGTATGGCCCTCTAAGCAGGCTGTGTGTGCTATGAGCTTTAAAGTGTATTTCTACTATTTTAGCCAAACTGGGATAACACTGAGAAAAAAAAAATTTAAATAGCTGCCTAAAATTTTAAGTGCTTTTTACTTGCTTAAACTAATTACCTAGCACTCTACTATGTAATATTAAGAGGGGTTGTGGTGTTATATTTATCATTATTAACCCTGTCTGTAATGTGCTGTCAGATCTCATTACCAGTTGTAAACTAGGTTTCAACACTGTCCTAACAAAGGGTAAAAGATCTCGAGTCTTGGATTCTGCAATGCATGTTAAAGGAGAAGTACAGTCAAAGTTCTTTTGGCTGTACTTCTATGGATCACAGGAGTGCAGTTCACTCTCCTATGAACCGTTTTTAGCTCACAGTGGGCTGAACCCCGCTGTCGGCTGATATCACTGAGCCGGTCCAGGCTGGGGTAAGATCCTGACTTTAAAGTCAGGATCCGACCCAGAGTCTAAAGCGGCACCCAGCTCAGCCTCAGCGATCCGCTGAGACCCTGAGCCAGCTGTTCCCTCCCCCTCCATAGCTTGGCACTCCAGTGAGCGGGGGTGGGCAGAGCAGAGTGCCGTGACAGACTATCACGATCTCTGCTCAGATGTGATGAGATCTCTTCGAATTCTTACCCTTAGAATCAGCGGGGGACAGATGCAGCATCAGACTGATGGTGCATCCACCTAAGTATAACTGAGCAAAAAAAAAAAAAAGCTCATACTTCTCTTTAAATGAGGGAACATTTACTTTATTCCCACTTTATCTTTCTGAAATTATTCAGAATTGCTTGCAGCCCTGAATATAATCCTACTCCAAAAAAGCAACTAGAGAGGTAAGAAATATTTAAAAAAAATATATATATTTTTAGGTATGCCTTGTGAATGGGAACACATAACAAACATAACAGTGGTTTCTCAGATTCAAATGGACAAGTGGAAATACACTTTAGTATTCTCTGCTAGAACCTCTTGTTTTGTGGCCAGATTGCTCCAGTGGTAGCTCTGTGCCACTCAGTTCCATTCAGGGACTGTCTGTCAGAGCAGCTGTAGGAATCCAGAAACCATTTGAAGAACCTACTTTCCCCCTCTCCTCTTCAATCAAGTTCCTGTTAAAAATTTAGAATTGTATCCTCAATGCTGGACCTGTATTACTGAATTGTACATGTAAGCAAGTTATAAGGGGACAATGTAGTAGGGATTCCCACTTGCAAGCCCAAGGCACCTCTAGGTGAAGGCAATAGGAGGATTTACTAACCACTTGCCTTCCAGAGGATTTACCCCCCTTCCTGACCAGGCCATTTTTTGCATTACAGTGCTGCGTTACTTTAATTGACAATTGTGCGGTCATGCAACGCTGCACCCAAATTAAATTTATGTCCTTTTTTTCCTCACAGATGGAGCATTCCTTCGGTATTTGATCACCTCTGCATTTTTTTTTTGTGCTATAAACAAAGACCGTCAATTTTGAAAAAAAAAAAACTATATTTTTTACTTTTTGCTATAAAACATATCCAGGAGTAAAAAATATAAAAATCAACTTTCGTCAGAAATTCAGGCCAAAATGTATTCTGCTACATATCTTTGCTAAAAAAAAATCCCAATATGTGTAAATTAATTGGTTTTCGTGAAAATTATAGTGTCTACAAATGGCGGTATAGATACTGGAATAATTTTTTTTTTTTTATACTAGTAATGGTGGTCAGCAACTTATAGCGGGACTGCGGCAGGCATTCTGACACTGGGGGGGAACTGACTAAATGTCACTGACATTCCCACTGGCACTAATGTAGTGATCAGTGCTAATAAAAAGCACTGACTGTACTAATGACACTGGGCAGGAAGGGGTTAGCATCTGGGGCATTCAAAGGGTTAACGGTGAGCAGTTTTACTATTTTGTATGTGTATTACTGTGTAAGCACGCTGCTTTGTATTGCTCTGCTATGAAGAGCAATATGAAGCACCGTGCTGGCAGGGGAGAGATCTGTATTGTTTACATACAGACCTCTTCTCTATCAGTGTTCCTAGGCAATCACCAGGTGCCGGTGGGGAATCTCCGGCCGGGACCCGGTGATCGACAGCTGTAGCTGTCAATGGTGGCGCGGGTAGGGTGGCATGCGTCCCCTACCCGGAAATACAAAATCACATATATATACGTGATTTTGTACAGCCCTACCACCCTGTAGCAGTAGTTCTGCTATAGGGCGGTCGGCAAGAGGCTAAGGTTCCCCAATTTTCCATTTAGGGGAGGCTTAGGATTTCTAGTTTACCGAGGTGCTGGAAGAGTGAGTCAACATAAGTGCTGCCAGGATAGTGTCATCTCACAGTACCCACAACCACATCCCAAGAAAACACCCATACAGTTATCTAGGTTCAAAACAGGGTTACTTTATATATACTGCTGTCACATCCTCCTACTTAGGCAGCTATCCCTGTCTCCTTATTGCAAGACTTCCCATACACTTGTATTTGTAAATCTTCCTTGTGACACATGGGGGTGATTTACTCAAGAGGTAGAAGTTGGTCACTTATCAAAGTGAGTGTTCTCTGAACTTAGTGTAGCCACCTTGCCGTATGAAGGAGTGTCTCTTTAAATTTAGACTGCATCGCTGCAGTCAGCCAATGTCAATTTATAGTCTGTCTTGTTCAGCTTCCCCTAAGCTCAGCCTGGCTGTCAGTTCTCCCTTCTGTCAGAAGGCGGTACTGTCACCTCTGGCCTTAGTGTGAGATTGCACTGTGACTTTGATTTATAAATGTTCTTATCTTTTCCAAGTCAACCAGTAGGAGTTTCAATTACAATTTGCATCATGGAAGCGGAATGCACCAAATATTTAGGGTGATCTGATGCAAGGCTGTGTCCTGGGAAGGGTGCATGTGCTGGAACATCTTTAGGCCTGTCTGTTTAAAGGGGCCTGTATTTGACTAGGCCTGCAGCTTTGGCCTGAAAGTAACTGGATTTGGAACTTTCCTTGTCTGAACACAGGATGGAGTATCAAGGGGGCAAGTTGACTTCCCTGGAGAAGAAGGGGCATAGGATTGAGTCCCAGTCGGAGCTATTCGACTCTCCTAGAATGCAAGGAAAAGGGGATTGTGCCATCAGCAATTTCAAGCCTCCCCCCATTACATCTGTTTCAGGTAACCTTAGAAAAGTTTCTGAAACCCTTTGGGGTCCCTATAAAGAAAAGGGTCTGTGGAGCTCCCCTCCCCCCTCCACTGTCGTGGCTTTTTTATGTGGTAGTTTTTAGTTATAAAGGGGGACACTTATTGTTAATTGTATAATGGAATTTAAATACGGCTTGAGCTGAGCTGTTTCATTTATGTTTTGATTGAGTTATGGTTTTAATTGTTAATAATTGTTTGTTGAATTTTATTAATATGTTTATAGAATTTAAAAAAATGAATAAAGATGGCGCAATTTTCTTTCCTGCAACCACGGGTTGCAGGAAAGAAAATCACTCGATTCCCCAATCAACATGGTAAGTGTTGGTGGGGAAATCTCTCCAGTGGAACTATTGTGCTCTGGCGGCGAGAGTAGCTATCCCCACAGGAGAACGCCGTGATTACTGTGAACAGCTATATTAGCCTCTAGCAATAATCACGTGTAAAATCCGACAGGCTGGTTGTAACCAAGTTGATCAATTGGGTACATTCAGCCTGCCAATACAAGGTTTGAATCTCAGTCAATCCCCGCTGAACCGGCCGAGATCTGAACTGTCTATGGCCAGCTTAAGGCCAAGACCTATAATCTTCCAAAAAAATGAGTCTTGTGGTTTTCTTCTGCGGGTCCAAGAAACCCTTGTTTGCAAACCCATGAAGTTGCTACTGGTGATGTCTACTAAACAATTTAAACACAGGAGTATTGGTCTCAACTTTTCATTTGCTGCAAAGTATGAAGTACTGTATTTTCAACTAAAAGTGACCAGTGCCCATCTGTTCACATTTCCCATTATTGCCTAGGAAATCTATACCCTGAGGTAAAATGCCAGCTGCCCCCTATCTCTGGGGGTACCACCATGCCTCTAGGGGTCATGGAAGTGCTACAATAGTAAATAAGTTGACGCTGTGTTCACTTTAACCTCCCAAGCGGTCTGATTATGTCCATATTTCTGTGCTCAAAGCGGTACATTTTTTTGCATGGAAATATGTATTTTTTTTTTTTTGTAGGCCTGTAATTTTTAGGAATAACTCACTGAAATCTGTCCGAACAAGAGTCTAGTAAACATCCCGGGTATGTTAAAATTTGAAACACGAAATCATAAATTATAATTTAATAAATAATCATAAAAAAATAATAATATAATAATAAATTTAATTCAATAATTTAATCAAATCAAAAACACTGAAATTTGAAATATAGCGCCAAATTCGCACATCACTGAGCAAAGTCACAAAATTGTTTTCAGTGTCTGATGACGAATTTCCCCATGAATCATTATCACTCAATTCTGCAAGTGGTTCTAATTTACTATCGCTGTTCCCTAGCTGGTCTAAAACCGCTTTTGACCTAAAGGGACACTTTTTGGACGCCATGGACGTTTCTCAATTTCCAGGCGGAAAGAACAGTAAAAATGTAGGCAGGGCACAGGACAAAGCACTAGGGACAAAATGTATGTGAAATGCTTTGATACAGTAATGTTTTACTATGTGATTTTAGTGAATGTCACTTTTTGTCATTTTTAAATTTCCCGCCATTCCGTCCCCATCGTCCTGACGTCGCAGGGAACGGAACCCAGAAGACAGATGCCGGCATCCGCTGGAGGACATTACAGGGGACACTGCAGGGTGGACATCGCGCGAGTACAGGACAAGGTAAGTGAAGAACAGATCCCGGAGCAACACCGCTTGGTAATCCCGAGTGTAGCTCGGGGGTTACTGCTTGCGGTACTGAAACTTTACCCCGAGCTACACTTGGGAATACCGCCAGGGAGGTTAATACCGAATCACGTGCAAAGGAAATTAAAAAAAAAAAAATTGCATTCTTGCTTACATTTCGTTGGAAGGTTGAAGTGAGTTTTACATGGCTTTACCTTATTCACTAAGATAAATGAACATTCACTTTACAAAGTAAAAATGTTCTATTCCTTTAGTAAATCAATCACACAGAGAGGGTAGAACAAGGGCTGGATGTGAAAAAGCTTTGCTTGAGATTCCTGAATTGTGGCAATAGGCCAGAGATAATATAACAAATATGTATCTTATATGATAAGCATAACATGCCACAGAAAATACACGTTCCTTTTTTGCTCAGGAACACAATGAAAACCGCTGACAGTGAGATTTAATATTATCAGAAGAATAATATTAGGAGCAGTGCAATTCATTCAGGACGTATTACAATTAATCCTGAGATTTGCTAAACAAGGTTATAAACAACCTGAGGGGAAGCCAAATCAGATAGCAATGTAGTGACTAATATATATCCAGGCTCCATATTATCTACCTATTTTACTTTTAGTCCTCATGCACACTGGACATTTTTACAGCTGCTGTTTTTGGCTTTTGACATTTTTTTCTACAGCTAGTAAACTCCCCAGCATGTTATCCTATGTCCATGCACACAGACTGTAATCAATGTTTTTTGGCAGGGATGTTTTTTTTTGGAAAAAAAAAAAAAAAAAACAAAAAACCCAGGACTAGTGGGTTTCTAGAGGAGTTTTTTAGCTGTAAAAACGCTCTAATGCTGAAAAATGTGGTAAAATGCTGCAAAACAGCATTTTTGGACTTTTTTTGACAAAAAAAAAAAGATTTATTTGGTAAAATAAACGCAAAAAAATGCTAAAAAAATGGTAAAATGGTAAACGTGGCAAAACACCACTAAACAATAATGCAAAAACACTAAAAAAAAAGCTGAAATCCGCACGTTTTTAACATGCCTTTACACAGCTAACGTTACCAGAGTTATCAAAACATCCAGTGTGCATGGGGACTTACACATTTGTCACCTCTTATCTCCATCTTTAAACCGTGTTTCCCAGAAATACTCATGCTACTAAAGCTCCTCATTCAGCAGGTTTATATGAAAGGAAACATTCTCAAGGCCCCTGTATGGGAAGTCCACAGCGCAGAATGCCTCTGGAGCATCCAATACTATCTCACTTACCCTATATAATTGATAAAATAAAAATTTATAAAAAAATGAGAATCCTTTTTCATGCCTGTTATTGGAATCTCTACTAATATGAAATGACTTGCTGAATATTCTGGATAAAACATGCATGTATATAGTTGGTCAGCTAAAAGATGAAATGGAGTTGATTTACTAAAGGCAAATAGGCTGTTCACTTTGCAATAGAATTTTCCCTTAGCTTTGGGAATGTGGTAATATTTCACTTTGCAAAGTATACCTGATCACATACAAAGAAAGTAAAAAAAAAAACACAATTTTTGATTGCACTTGATTAGATAATGGAAGTCAGCAGAGCTTCACCTCATTCACTAAACAATGGGTAAAATTTCTCTGAAAAGTGCAACTTCTCTTTCAAAGTGATCAGTCTATTTGCCTTTAGTAAATCATCCCCAATTTTTGTGTTGACATGGGTCATACAAATGTTAAAAAAATCAAAATGACATCATTTTAAATAAGAACACTGGGAACAGTTGTTACAATCCCCATTCACAATAGCAAGAAAGCTCATATCTAAAAAAAAAAAAACTTTGACAAACAAAAAACACAGGTTGGTAGACCCAGAGAGCCCTGTGCTGACTTCCTAACTAAGACATATTGGCAGACCAGTGTAAGAGAGCCCTACCTCTATTACCATTCTTGAATGACTAGGCCAAGGTCTATCAGGGCCTGGCAGTACTTTCTCAGCTATTAACATCTGGATTTAGAAAACGCCCAATACATCTTTTTGACTTTTCTTTTCATTTCAAATTACTCTTGCATGTTTTTTACCCAATTTATGAACCCAAGTGTTTGTTTTGGCACAATAGTATCTTGTACATGATATCTTGACACTTACATGGGATTTTAATGATGACTATTCAATAAACTATGCAATTGGCACAAACATCTCATGACTCCCATTGCAGCCAATTATCCTAAAGTAGGGCAACCAAGACAAAAAAATATATTATGGTCATCTGGTTTAGCAGATCAGCTAGTCAGCACATATGCAGCCATATTGGATACAGAAAACAGCACAGTTATTAAAAACTAGAAACATTTTTTTGACCAGTGCTCATTTTAAGATTCCAAAGACATTATTTTTTTAGCTCTATTGTGCTAATTCAGATAAATTTGAAAGCTGTACAGCGTGTACTATAGCAGAGATAGTTTTGCAGTAGCAACAATGTGCTAATAACCATTGGAAATTGCAAAAGTAAGCCTGCCTCAGCATTTTCAGCCAATCTTTTGATTAGACACTATGTGATAAAGCGGAACTTGACAAATCCCAGGAACCAAGTTGCTAATATGCCAAACAAGTTATAGCTGGGACCAAGCCCTTTTTAGATTTTTTAAATTGGCTGTCTGGCAAGTCATACTCTCTGACACTCCATACTAGGTCCACTCTTTCAACAAACAGTAAATGATATTAAAAAATTTTAGCTGTTTGCTGTATATGCTGATAATTGTGAACATAAATGTGAAGGTTTCAGATATATACAAGAAATTAAGATATTGTCAGTCTAATGATACCTAATATGTTTATGCTCCTCCAGAAGCAACCACTGCCTTTTTACTGGTGCTCACTGATTCCAGGACAGTAACTCAGTTAAAAAATGTAAAATTTCACTTCCAATATGAAAAAGCTTCCCCCACCAATCCCTATTCACACAAGTGTTTTGTTATGTAAAAAGATCATCTCAAGGGAAATCTACCACCAAGCAAAGAGCCTCTTGGGATCCTGCCAGGAGTGAAGGTCCTTGGCTTGTCAGCTCGGAAGGGTGTGAGAAAAGTATCTTTGCTTTTTAGGCCTGTTGCCTGGGGAGGGTATATCTCCAGGGAGCCTAGTCCATGCTTCTCATGCCTGGTGCCCAAAGAAGGAAGCTGAAGGAGAATTCTGCTTAGTGATTTTGCCAGTCTTGGCTTAAAGGTCTACAACTTGCCTATGAGAAGGGATGAAGATACTTAAAGATAACCATTCGCCTGGCCTACCTATTCCATCCTAGCCTGTAACAGAGATAAAAGAGCTCAACCTTGACCTGTGCAGAGGTCAGAAGACACTACAGAGGAAAATACATTTTTGCTGTTGTTGTTTGGTTACCTAAGCCCCTAGCTCTCAATCCTCTAGAATTAGAAAGGCAAGGATGCTTGTAAAATCAAGCATGTCCTTTGGGGGTGAGTGTTAACCCAACTTAATGTTAGTACAAACATAAAGTGAGGATTCACACATGTGCGGTGCAAATTGAAGCTTTGTCAATTAGCTGTGAATTTTTTTCACAGCTAATTGACAAAGTAGTTGTTCAGGGGTTCAGGTCAGGTTTACATCAGGATCAGGTGAGGTTTACATCAGGATCAGGAGAGAAAACTGTCCTGAAATCATGTTAACAAACTCATGACATGTGTGATTCAGAAGCTGTTTCCATAGAAGTCAATGAGTCTGTAATCTGCACCTGAACCAGATGGCACTGCTCAGAAATTGGACAGGACTCTTTTTCAATCTGCACTGAATCCACAATACCAGTGCACCGGATGTATGTGAACAGGCACCATAGTAAGCAATGTTATTTCACATGTCATAAGGACTGGTTGCGGTTGAATCCGCATATATGTTACCGGCTCTTATACTCACTCTGGCTTTGACCATTTTGTATATGCATTTCCAATCTCCAAGCACAGCACGATGTTTAAATAGTATTAGCAATGACAGCATTAATTTTTGAAAAAGATATCAGTATGTTCTGCAACACTGTGATCTTGCGTCAAATGTGACAGATTAGCTTAAAAATATGAAAAGTACACTCCAGACCATATGGTTATTTCTGCTATTGCTCTTTTTAGTGGATACAACTAGAAAACTTGCAACAAAATCAAAATAATCAGATCTAGTTATTAAGATACCCTAGACAATAATGGTTCTACCAAAATAGGTGGTCTACCCATACAGGATCGTAGTATAATTACAGAGAATGAATATCATTACAGCTACCTTGAATTTGAATCTTGCTTTTGCTTCAACTCTAAGGGTTGCGGATTAGCTTTCCTTATTTTATAATTATCAAACATGCTCAGAATTATAATTAAAATGAGTGCTGCTACTACCGCAGCCTACTGCAACGAACAAGGGGAATTTCTCTATCCTTATCTTTCACGAAAAAACAGTTCATTTTCTGGATCAACAAAATCTTTATGATTCAAATATAAGCCAGGTTAAATTAATTAAAGCATATTTCCACTTTTACAGCCAAATTTAAGAAAACCCCATGTTTTATGTTTCCATTCTCACAGCATACCTAAAAATTACAGCATGCTTGTCCAATGGAGATCTGGAACTGTGCAGAACTTTCACAAGAAGTGACAATCTGTCCAGCAGAGGGCAATTCTTTAATTGGGTCGCTACGGTTTTCCAGCCACAGAAAAACGTATAAAATGACTTCTTCAGAGACTGTATATGCTAGTTTTCACCCCTTTTTCAATATTTTTATTTCAAAAGAAGATTTTTTTTGCATTCTTTATTTATATTTTTAATGTAGAACAAAACCAAAGGAAGAGCAAGACAAGGAAAAAAAGAAGGCACATTGGACAAATCTGATTTTGAACATTGGCAGGTTAGTGTATACCAAGGCATAGACATGCATTCATGTGGATGGTATAGGTAAAAGAGAGCATGGACACATAGTAATCTGTTACATAAATGTCGAACAGGTGAGATGAAAGTCCATGGACCCTCATGCCAAAGTGCAAAGCTCGAATTCCTGTGCAATAGGAAGGATAGGCTATAACAAGGGCATATCATGAGCTAATAATTATTCAAGGAAGATTATTGATT